TTACATGTAATATGTGCGTGTGTGTGTAAACGTAACATTCTGTAGTGCATCGAGTTATTGCCCAGCAGGCACACAATGTCATAAGACGTTAGTATTAGGTTAGGTTTAGGTTGTGATGTCAGGTGACCAAAATTCAACGTCTAGCCAGTGTCTAAGGGCAATGTTATTGACATTACAGGACATTACAGTTTTTCTCAATGGCTTTGGTGCATATCTGACAACCCTATTTACATTTGCACAACAGTTCATGCATTTCCCAAAACAATTAGTACAAACTGCAAAATCTAGTTGATAACCTGCAAAAGCGTGTCACTTGCTCAAAATGGATAGCTCATTCCTCAAAAGCAAGTATTGATGTCAATGAAAGTGTCAGTGTCATCAAGATGAAAAGTCCTGACACCATTGTTTATGAACAAGATAGTCAAACGGCTTTGTCATGTTTTCATTATGACTCTGTACGTTTTCCAATGCAAAAATGTCTGATTTTGGTGACACTTCCCTGGCCCGGATTGGCTAATCGGGAGGACTGGGAAAATTCCCGGTGGGCCGGTTCGTTTTTTGGCCACGAGGATCGGTATCCCTCAGCAGTCGCACTAAAACTTTCATTTATTTATTTATTTCACCATAGCCTCACTCTTTTTATTCATTATTTTGCCACAACTCCGCTCTTTTTATTTATTTTCTCGCAGCCCCATGAACAAAATGCAGCCTGCATTCATCATTGATGCATGCATCATTTGACCCCAAACAGCAGCACCTTAGTGAATATAAGAATTCGAATTATTAAAATAATGAAAATTACACCTGCCCAATGAAAATCAGATGATTCACTACATTAATAAATCTAACATGATCAGGCGAGGCAGTGGCGCAGTAGGTAGTGCTGATGCCTCACAGCAAGAAGGTCGCTGGGTCGCTGGTTCGAACCTTGGCTCAGTTGGCGTTTCTGTGTGGAGTTTGTATGTTCTCCCTGCCTTCGTGTGTTTCCTCCGGGTGCTCCGGTTTCCCCCACAGTCCAAAGACATGCAGTACAGGTGAATTGGGTAGGCTAAATTGCCCGGAGTGTGTTGGTGAATGTGTGTGTGGATGTTTCCCAGAGATGGGTTGCGGCTGAAAGAGCATCCGCTGCGTAAAAACTTGCTGGATAAGTTGGCGGTTCATTCCGCTGTGGCGACCACTGATTAATAATGGGACTAAGCTGACAAGAAAATGAATGATTGAATGATCAGGAATCTAAAAAGGGGAGAAAAAACGATTAAGCCATTGTGGTCCAGTGATCAGCATGTTGCATTATGATTATGCTGACCTGAGTTCAAACCTCACCTGAGTTAATTTTTTTTTTTTTGTGCTAAGACATATAATATAATAGGTGTACATATTTTATTTTATTTATTTATTTATTTTTTTGTGTTACAAAGGACTGGATATCTATAAAGAATTTTCCACAGAATATATACTCAGATATTGCAGGAAAGGATGTGTATGATGTTTTTAAAGAATAGTGTTGGAGATTTAGCCACCCTTTAATGTTCTCATATTTATGAAAAACATTTGAAGTTCCAAAGCAGCTGTTTCCTTGAAAAAGAAATGATAGCGTCATTAGAAACTGAATTGGAAATTACGTTATTTTAATATAGTCAGTCCTGCACTGGGCCGGTCTAAGGCTTGAAACTTCAGGGCTGAAAAGGAGTCCCACTCTGGCCCTCTACACTTCCTGAAAATGCTCAAGACAGCACTATATACAGTATTATTTTCACAGCCATTTGAAAACTACAGTAAAGTTAGACATCACTGCATTGACAGATGCATGGATGTTTGGATAGATGGATGGATGGATGGATCGATGGACGGACGGACGGACGGACGGACGGACGGACAGAAAGACAGACAGACAGACAGACAGACATACAGACAGGCCCGTGCAGAGACCGTCCAAAGGGCATGTGCAGGATAAATCTGATCAGCTGTGTTATCGCGCGCGTTCTGATCAGCTGTGTTGTTGCGCGCTTACTCAAGAGCAGTGTTGTCGCACGCCTACTGAAGGGCGGGACCGAGGGTGTGTTGCGTCGCGGGGGCACTTTTGATCATTTTGGAAAGGCACTTTCTATCCAAGACTAAAAATGGCATGTGCACTGCACAGGTTGAGCCCTATGTGTGCACCTGCCTGCATACAGACAGACAGACAGACAGAAAGACAGACAGACAGACAGACAGACAGACAGACAGACAGACAGACAGACAGATAGATAGATAGATAGATAGATAGATAGATAGATAGATAGATAGATAGATAGATAGATAGATAGATAGATAGATAGATAGATAGATAGATAGATAGATAGATAGATAGATAGATAGATAGATAGATAGATAGATGTGATCTTACATAATGTAAACAGCTCTACGTGTGAGTCTCATTATGAATGAAGGAGCTCTGCAAGTGCAGTTTGTTCTGGCATAATTACCTCCAGTGCTTATGTAAGTCCTGTGTGACAGACACACCTTACAGGAGAAGAGACACTGAGCTATAATTAGAGAAATAACAATCAGACTAAACGCAGCTGTCGACAGGATACACACACACACACACTCCGTTATTGACAGAAATGCTGATGAAGGATTACATGAATTACAGCCTCTGAATTATTCATTCAGACCATACACTTTAGGAGGAAAGCACTGGAGATACAGTCAGTCTAAATGACGAATACTAATCATTATATTATCATTGATTTCTAGGTTGATTGATCAACTACCATGTTTCAAAGACAAGACAGATATTATATAGAAACAGGGATACCTGAAAATAAAAGGCTTTGATGTGTTTGATACTTTGATGTGTTCAATTGGTCTCCATCATATGTTGCTGTTCAAAATTAGATAGAAGAAAAACAACCTGCAACCAGCACTGAAAACAGGATGGTTTATGACTCAGCATGTTTATGTAACCTTTCATGTTAAACTGTCAATAAGTATCAACGTCTATCAGTTTGTTTTTGACTTGCATCTCCAGTCATTGTGACGTCATTATGGCGCCATCTAGTGGATTTAAATAAATGGATTCACGTGTGGTAATCATATCAATAATAATGGCATAATCATTCATTTTCTTTTCGGTTTAGTCCCATTATTAATCAGGGGTCGCCACAGCGGAATGAAGCGCCAACTTATCCAGCATATGTTTAACGCAGCAAATGCCCTTCAGCCGCAACCCAACATCTATTCAATACACCTATTCACACACATACACTACGGCTCGTTTAACTTAAACCGGAGCACCTTGAGGAAACCCTTGATACATAATATAGAATAATATATTATATGTTAACCAGTTCGTTCGCACTTTGTCTGTGTTTTGCCTGTACACCCAATTCCACTATAAAAAAAACTATAATAAAAAGCTGAATTAGCTACAAAATTAGCAAAATTAGCATATCTTTATTGTTAGCTATACATTTCATCGGCCGAATTAGATAAAGATAGGATAAAAACAATGAAAGGCGTCAAGCGCCAAAATGTCAAATGTTTTATTTTTTCAAATATCCTTCTCCCGCGCGACGTGACGTCAGATACTGCTTATCGTAATCATAGAAACTTTATGCCCTAGTTTTGCCATTCTAGTAGATGTTTTCCCATTTCCCCATTTGTCAACCATTTATTTTTGTGCCATTAAATTTGCTTATAGCAGGTGTTAACTTTCATCCACTGTTGTGTAAAGGAAGTTTATGTAAATATGTCAGTTTTGTGCGATTAAGATTACTGGTAACAATTTACAATATAGTTGTAGGCCTGTAATTTAGGTCTATTTACTAACATAGACAACTAATTATATATAAAAAACTATTAATCTTTTTAAGGTTAGTTAATGATATTAAAGTTGTTTATTGTTAGTAAAAGTTGTTTATGTTAACTCACAGTGAATTACCTACTAATGTAAACAAACAATAATTTGAGAGTTTATTAGTAAATTTTAATCTATTTTTAATTTATAAATGCTGTAAAAGTTGTTCATTATTAGTTTAGGTTAGTGAATAAGTAATTCAACCTTATTGTAAAGTGTGAAGTAGAAACAAACGAGTGTCCGTCTTGAATTTATTAAGATTTGTGCTTAATTACAAGATAAGCCTATTCATTTCTTTATTTGTGACATTTTTTTAACCTCTAAATGTGTATTAATTTATAGATTTTGGGAATATTAAATAGAAATCTGCTTAGATGGACAGAACATGGCATGCCTGTGCAAATAATAATTATTTTATTAAATTGAAATGAATATTAAATATTTTTATTAAGATAATTAGACACATTTTAACAAAATAAATACAAAGTGTGGATTAAATATTAATTGAAATTATGATCATTAAAAAAATAATATAAATGTTTTGAATATACCATATAAAATGATTAGAATAATTCCAATAAAATTTATTAGAATAATTGTTTTAAATGTTGAATTATCTCTAAACTAATAATTCCAAATGAATAATAAAAATTCTAAACATGTCAATTAATGTCCAAATAAATATATCAGCTACTACAATATAACAAATAAGGAAATATATCTTCAAATTTATATTTTAGTTGCATTTATAATATAAATATCCTCATAAACTAAGAACTAGTCTTAATAATCAGATAAAAAAGTGGCAATGACCTTATTTATTTTTTTTCCCAGACGTGCAAACACAGCAACGTGAGCCCACGCCTCCATTTAACATATTTTATTTAAGGAATGTAACTTACCCACACGCATTAAAAATGTATGTCATGCAATTGCTACTGAAATTATTCGATAAAGTATGGCAATGCATCACATAAATAGCTTCCATAATGTGTTCAGTTGGTTATATCCGTCATTCACTCAATGTTATGCAGAGTGGCAAAGCTAGAGTTAAGTATCGGATCTCACAGCACGTGTTGTTTTGGCGCTTTACCGCATATCGCTGACACCCAAAACAAACGTGTCTTCAAGATGGCTCGTCTATACTGAAGCGGCTGACGTTTTTAATCTCAGGTTTTTACATATCGGAACGGAGCAGTTTCAGGTATAGTTAAAGGCTTAGTTTATGTTCCATGTCAGCTTTCATTGCGCCTCTTGAATCACTTGCTCTAACATGGAGTTCACTGCAATGTTATGTAATGTATGGGGGTCCCCTAATGTGTTTAAAAGTGGGCTCTATTAGAAACAATATGAAACGCTGGGATTATTCGTGAATGTACATTGTATATGCTATGGTGGACGACGTTTTTCGGCGTATTTTGCTATTGTTTACAAGGTCATCGTAGGTTTAACGTTACAGTTTGTCCTCTGAACATTATCTGCTTGGGTGTTGCAGAATGTAAAATGGCCATTATAAATAAATATGTAAATATTATATAAGTGTACATAATGTTAATTGCTATTATGGCCTGTTTGTTTTCCTGCCAGAAATGCATTTATTGATTTATTTATTTATGACAGTGATTGATCACTTTAGATACATTGTTCAAAGACAGGTGTAAACCATGAAAAATAATTGGGTTTATAAAGATTTATTGTAGTATGTCAGTTTCCAAACATGTATTTATATATTAAAAAATATAAATATTTAAGCTATAAATGTCTAGAGGTTATAAGGGTTATAAGCTTAAATTAATATTTTAATGTTTATAAATATTAATAAATAATATAAATGTGTTTATTAGGGCTGCAAAATATTAGACAAATCTAGCATTGTGATAATTTTTATTTTGCGATATTTATTGCAATATTAATACAATGTCACCTGATAACTTAAATATCTCTATTTGGAATGAATTTATAATGCTAGAACGATTGGGATGCTTCTGCAGTGGAAGTACATCTTCAAAAAATCTAATAAACTATATACGTTTTGGGGTATCTATGTACGTTTCTGCTATTTGCAGTGGATTTCTGTATTTTCATGTGAGTTTTTTTATGCCCAACAATTTATAAATACAATCAAGAAAAGTTACAATTGAAGAAGTATTTTATTGTGTAACAGTACTCGAGTACAGTAACTGAATGATAAAAATAAAAACAATTCATTTAAAATTAATTGTTGTTAAAGTCATAAATGGTGCAATGTCTTATGCCTGAATGCTTTTAAGGTCATTATACAATCACAGGCATCAAAAAACACATGCAAATAATGAATCATAATGCAAACTCAAAATTGCATATACTCGCAATGTGACAATTGCGAATGATCACATTGCGATATCGATGCTGAAACGATATATTGTGCAGCCATAGTGTTTATGGTTTGTAGACAAGACTGACACTAACACAATGTAATAATTTTATTTGATGAAAATAAACATTTAATTTGTGAATTATGAATATTATTATTTACAATACTTTGACAGCTACACACCACTTACGTATTTTGAAATTGAAATGTTTTTTTATTTATTTCATAAATTGGCTTGTTTATCGTACAAGATATGCAGAAATAATTAGGGATGCTCCAATACCAGTTTCGGTATCGGGTCGATACTTGGCTAAAATACTAGTACTTGTATCATACACAAAATGCCAATACCACGCACCGATACCTCTCAACTGTATTTCATTATGCGGATGTGATTTGTTGTCCTACTCGACTTCAACCTCTTATTGTATTAATTAATGTATTATATATTAATATATAGTCCTTATAAAAAATCTGTTTATAAAATACATTATTAACAAATCAAAAGCCTTCTGAAGAATAAACTGAATATGCAATATGATCCTTGCATAATGATAACTCGAAACAAGCTACCGCTTATTTTATATATAAACTATAAATATAAAAAAAAATTGTGAAATTTTAAGTAACGGAACATTATATGTAAAAAATAAATAAAATAAATCTAAACTTTTATATTCACCTTATTCTTTACGTACGAGCGGGCGCAACCATTTGAATCGTTTTTGCTCGAGACTTCAGGTCTCATTCACTTCCATTTATTTTTAGACGTCAAAACAGCTTGTTATGCTGCTTGATGTTGCAAACTTCTACTTGGTTTGTAGTGTCATGCAAACACTTGTTTGTAGAGCAAGTAGTTTGACCATTTTTGCCATTTATTATTCCTAGTCATTTCTCCCATAGGCAACTGAATCGGAAGTTCTGAAACAATCGCAAAAACGAGCACACTTTCGCATTGAAGAATAAGGTCAATAGTAGATTACAGGCTAAATAAAAGTGCCTAGAGCTAAACATCACTGCAGGCAGTCTGTCAAGATAAAATCGATTAAATCATCTTAATTTTTTAGAGAAAGTAGTTTAAGTTTACATGACCAACTATTGATCTTATCCATCCGTGACCCTCTCATAATTAAGCATCGTGTAGCCTACGTTTTGATTACCTGACCCGCAGATTAATGGCAGTACACAGGAATATAAGAAAGAACTGCACATAACAGGGTTTTATGTGTCCCCAATATGCAATGTCAAGAGAGTGACTCCATAAGTTAACGTAAACTGCACCAATTGAATATGTAATGTGTGAAGTCGTGGACACATGTCAGCGCAAGTATAACTTATCCTTTAAATATCCAATGCTTAATCGGTAATTGATAAGGTCTATTGATTTGCAGGGTTATCAGCAATGTGTGTATATTTTTGGTTTGAAACTGCCTTCTGTTAAAGATTTTTGTGTTCATTCTTGCTACAGGCACGAACTAAAACTTCCTTTCAAAGTAATTGCACTTTAATTGAAATTAAATTTAAGTAGTATCGGAATCGGTACTTGGTATCGGCAAGTACACAAATTATATGACTTGTAACGGTTTGTAAAAAAGTGTAATCTGTTTATCCCTAGAAATAATTGTAATGTAGTTGACAAAAAAATCAGACGTTATTGACACAGACATATTTATTATATTGTTCGGTGGATGTTTGTGATCAATTATTTACAATGAATTACATAATTGTTGAAGTAAATCACTGTCTTTCTTACATTGATAGGTGTTGTTGTATAATGAAGTACATACTGGTGACAGGGGGAGTGATTTCTGGCATTGGTAAAGGCATCATCGCCAGCAGTGTGGGCACTATTCTCAAATCATGTGGTCTGCATGTCACTTCCATCAAAATCGACCCCTACATCAACATTGATGCTGGCACGTTCTCTCCGTATGAGCATGGTAAGTAATCTGAAGCAGTTTACTTGCAGTCATGTTGACAATACAGAAATATCAACTTCTTATTTTAGCTGACTGTATATATAGAGAGCGACATAGCACATTAATGGCACTGACAGCTGTCGTTTGTTTTTATCTCTTTGTTTGACAGGTGAGGTGTTTGTGTTGGATGATGGCGGGGAGGTTGACTTGGATTTAGGAAATTATGAACGTTTTTTGGACATCCGGCTAACCAGAGACAACAATCTGACGACAGGGAAGATCTATCAGTCTGTTATAAACAAAGAGAGGAGAGGGGATTACTTGGGCAAAACTGTACAAGGTGAATTATGCAATAAAGATGTTTGAAAATAAATAGGAATTGTTGCATGAGGATCCAGGATTTTTTTTTTTTTGCGTTTGAACATAAAATATGTTAAAATAATTATTTTTGTGCATGTTGTATAAGTTGTTTTGCAGATATTAAGATTACATTTAACTGTGTCTATATAACCATACTGTAACACACACTCATCGGCCATTTTATTAGGTACACCTGTCTAACTGCTCATTAACCAAATTTCTAATCAGCCAATCACATCGCAGCAACTTGTAGACATGTTCAAGCCGATTTGCTGCAGTTTAAACCGAGCATCAGAATGAGGAAGAAAGGTGATTTGAGTGACTTTGAACATGGCATGGTTGTTGGTGCCAGACGGGCTGGTCCGAGTATTTCAGAAACTGCTGATCTTCTGGGATTTTCACGCACAACCATCTTTAGGGTTTACAGCGAATGGTCCAAAAAAGAGAAAATATCCAGTGAGCGGCAGTTCTGTGAGCACAAATACCTTGTTGATGCCGAGGTCAGAGGAGAATTGCCAGACTGGTTCCAGCTCATATAAAGGCAACAGTAACTCAAATAAATTTGCATCATGAATGTGCAGCTGCAGCAACTATGTGATGCTATCATGTCAATATGGAACACAATATTTGAGAAATATTTCCAGTACCTTGTTGAATCTATACCACAAAGGATTAAGGCAGTTCTGAGGGCAAAATAGGGTCCAAGCCGATACTAGTAAGGTGTACCTAATAAAGTGGCCGTTGAGTGTAGATTACAGTTTAAATGTTTTGGGTTTGGTAAAATATTTAAGGGCTCTACTATTACTTTAACTACTATTAGAATTAGAAGAATTAAAAAAACTGTATATATTTTAAGAGGTAATTTATTCATGTTGCAGCAAAACAATGTTTTCTTCAGTCTTTAATGTAACATGATTTACATTATAATTTGCCTATTAGTTTTTTTTAGGTAATTGTCAATATTTAAAACTTTACAATTTTAATGTATACAATTGCAAACGTTTTTTAGGATTATATGATTGGAAATTTTAAAAGAACCATGTGCAAAAAATATAAAGGAAAATTATGTTAAAATAAAAATCTTTTCATTAATTTTTTCAGTGGTACCACATATAACTGATGCTATACAGGAATGGGTTATGCGGCAGGCCAAGGTCTCAGTGGACGATGATGGTATTGAACCTGAAGTCTGTGTCATTGAGGTATATCCATTTTGTGTTTGCTATTTATTGGAAATAGTTGATTTAATGCTATCAAGACTATTTAATGCAAAAGACTACTATAGAAAGAATGTGCTAAATTATGCACATTGTAGCAACAATATTAACACCCAAATATTCAATTCCCAGGGAAAGCAAGAACTGATAAAAATATTTTTAATGCAATGAAGTCATTAGGAATAAAAGCACCTGCCAAATGTATAAATGTATATACAACATTTAAAAAATGCTGTTTCACAGATCTAATATACTGATATACATGTTATTATTTCCATTATATTTCATTAACACACCCAATGTTGTTAGACTATTGTGAGCTGTTGCTATAACTTATGTGTATCTGACAGCCAACTTTCTGTGGAAGTGCACTGTGTCCATATTCAGTCTATGTTCAGTTTAAGTTTACCACAACTTTTATTTCCTCCACAGCTTGGAGGTACAGTTGGAGATATTGAGAGTATGCCTTTCATCGAAGCTTTCAGACAGTTTCAGTTCAAAGTGAAACGGGAGAACTTTTGTAACATCCATGTCAGTCTGGTTCCTCAGGTAGGAAACAAACTTTGTTTTTAATTCAGAATATGTTGATAAAACGCTGTTTACTTGAGTTTGGTCTTTTTTAGCCTAATTCAACAGGAGAACAGAAGACCAAACCCACACAGAACAGCGTCCGAGAGCTTCGTGGACTCGGCCTGTCTCCTGATCTGGTCAGTCTTAATTCTCTATAACACTGAAGAAGATTCAATCCAGGTATTTTTTTTATTTAATATTATATTTCATTTGCAGATTGTTTGTCGTTGTTCAACTCCATTGGACACTGCTGTAAAAGAGAAGATCTCCATGTTTTGCCATGTCGAACCCGAGCAGGTGATCTGCATACACGACGTGTCCTCCATCTACAGAGTACCTTTACTCCTGGAGGATCAGGGCATGGTTCACTACTTCTGCCGCAGGCTGGACTTGCCCATACAGATGAGACCACGTCAAATGCTCAGAAAGTGGAAGGAGATGTCAGACAGGTTTGTGCTGCTGGATCCACCTAAAGCCGAGTTCACACCAAATGGGGAAATAAGTATTTGCGCAAGTAAATGACAGTAAATAAATACCTGGGAATAGATTATTGCAGCAAAGCATGAATGACGTGGAATCTGTCAAATAATTGAAGTGAAAAAGTCAAGTGAGGGAAAGCATCCCCCGAGTAAACCAGAGCAAGTGACTCCATGTTTCGTGTCTGGTGTGAACCCAACATAACAGTCCCAAAAAGCTGCAATCTTCTGACTGCTGTTTTGAATGTGCTTGTTAATGTTTCATAGGTCTGACCGACTTCTTGAGCAAACCTCTATTGCTTTAGTAGGCAAGTACACCAAGCTGTCAGACTCTTATGCCTCTGTTATTAAAGCACTGGAGCACTCTGCCCTCGCCATCAACTATAAGCTTGAGGTCAAGGTAAGGAATAACTACTAGCATAAAATAATTGTTTTTATTATAGTAAAAAAATATTTTGGCCCATTGAAAGGTGTCCTTTTGAATTTAAGTTTCTTGGGTTTTCTTTTTTTTTTTTTTTGTCTTTTTTTTTTTTTTTTTGCAAATGTGTGTTAGTCTAATAGTATCAAATGGTACTGTGTTTCAGTACATAGATTCAGCTTATCTGGAGCCAGCAGCATTGCAGGATGAGCCAGTGAAGTATCATGAGGCCTGGCAGAAGCTCTGCAGTGCTGAGTGAGTGTGTCTTCAATATAAACAATAGAAATGATCAAATAAAAAAATTGGGGTTAATGAGTTAAAAAAAAAAGATTTTGCAGTATTTATTTTTGCAATAATTTAATCAAAAATACAGTAAACAAATACAGTAAAATTGTATATTTTTTCTTGTAATTTCTGTGATGCAAAAGTTAATTTTTTATTAGCATATTATTACTACTAACTTGTAATCCTTTAAAAAATATTTAAAAATGCTGATTAAGTGATCAAAAACATTTTTCATTATAGTCAATTTTAAATAAAGATGTGCTGCTTCATATTTTTGTAGAAACTGTGATTTGGAAAACTGTGAAAAATGTTTAGTTGCAAAAAACTGAATTTTCCTTTTTTTGTTTTGGGGTTAACATTTTCAGAAAGTGGTGTTAAGCAGATCACACACCGGATGCGCAGCTCGGTGCCACGACACGGTGCGCACATGACAGTTACATGCACATTCGCATGCTATTTAACATGAAACTAATCAGATGGCGCTCTGTGGCACAGCAGAAATATGAACAGTGTCCTGAGTCATGGCTGGGCGCCACCGACTTCTGGCTTCGGTGTGTATTCAGAACCCTGATAGAAACCTTTGTTTAGAATTCTGAAATGCATGGCGATGCGTGGCGCGTCACGAGCGGTGCTTCTGGTGTGCGACCTGCTTTAGAATAAATATATAAATATGTTCTGCGCATTTCATTTAAGAAATCTGGAGGCAACATTCAGAACCTATCATAGATATCAAATACAATATAATATCTTGGTAAATTTTTTTTTTCAATTACTTTTCCTACCATGTGTGGAGTCTTGTGACCCCACTTCGTTAAGGCTGATTTATACTTATTTTATTATGATTTATACTTATTTTATTACTCTGATATTATACTTCTGCCAAGCGCACCTGTACGGTCTCGCAGCCTTTGCATACCCGCACACCTCCCAAAACAATGTAACTACGCATCACAATGACGTGTAGCTAATGCTTTGTGATTGGTCGGTTTGGTAGGGATGATGAGGGTGGGCGGTGCAAAGAGGCACATTTTAGTTAATGTGTGTTTTACTTTCAGTTGTTTAGCGTTGATGTTCCATAAAGAATCATAGATAGTAGATAGTGTGTGTTTCGTTCAATTATTTTAAAATCAAGTAATACACACTACATTTAAAAATCTCTCACTTGTAATATGTGAGCATTTTCTCTATACAAAACTTGTCAGTGAACTATAAGAGCAAAAACATAGAATAAATAGATAAAATAGAAGTTCATTAATTGTAATGGAGGTAAAAGAGATTTTGATTTTAGGCTAAATCGCCCTGCCTTACCCTTTGCTAACCATTTGATGTTTCTAATAAACTCGTTCATTTGACACTATCATATTATATTTAACATATCACACTTTATACAGTAAAATATACTGTATTAAACTTGATTTAGTAAAATATAACAACTAATAAAAAATCTTACTTGCCCCAATCTTGCTTTTTAGCAGTCTAATGCATTATTAAATAAAATCAAGTCATGCTTTTCTTTTATTATTACATATTTATAAAGAAATTTGGGTTTTACAAACTGCATTGTAAATGTTGGTTTAATCTTTGAAAAGATGTAATTTAGAGTATTCTGTTGTTTTCTGTTATATATTGTTAGTTTGAGCATGTATTGATTGAATGTTTATTTGAACATTAGTTTGACTCCTTCGTTGTGCTGTTAGTGGTGTTCTAGTTCCTGGAGGATTTGGCGTGCGAGGCACAGAGGGAAAAATCCAAGCCATCAACTGGGCGAGGAAACAGAAAAAGCCATTTTTAGGTAACAAATCGTGTGCAGAAATCTGTGTTAGTGACAAAACATAATGTAATCACAAGCTGTTTTGACAGCAGTCCTGTAGTACATGTCAACCTTGTTCCGCAGGTGTGTGCTTGGGCATGCAGCTGGCAGTGTGTGAATTTGCTCGTAATGTACTTGGCTGGGAAGGTAAGAGAACACCCATACAGATGTTCGTATGAATTTACTTTTACATTACAGTGGTACAAGTGTTTATTTAAAAATTCTCTTTACAGATGCAAATTCCACAGAGTTTGATCCTGAAACAAAACATCCAGTGGTAGGTGTCCGTTTGGTCAAACAAATAATTATATATACATAATGATTAAATTTTTTGGCCCAGTTTGTATCTGGTTTAAAGAGATAGTTTGCTCAACAGAAAAAGGAAATTGTGCTCACTATTTACTCCCCATAAGTTGTCCCAAATCTTTATGGTGTTCTTTATTCTTTTGAACACACTCATAAAAAAATATATTTTGAAAAAAAAACTGTAAAATAAACTCTTTAAAGGAGTGTTCAGACTTTATTGCAACATTTTTTTCTTATTTAATTATGCTCTATAACACTTTAGCAAGAGGAACACCTAGGTACTATTGCATAAAATGTGGTTATGTGGCTTGAGTGAGCAGGGAAGCTGTCATGGTACAATGCAGTAAAGTATGAACATATGCTAATCTGTTATTTTCCAACACATCACATTACGGTCAAGGTTTACTGCAGTTTGGAAAGACAAGGTTTTAAACCCGTAAAACTTTTCTGTTATACCATTCCAATGGTATATGTATGTTTTTTTAATGTGTCTGTACAACTATTTTGTTTAGTTTTTAAGGGCAATAGTACCTCCAGCAGAAAAGGCCCTTCACATCAAAAGCTACTAGTCACCCCATGATTCAGCAAACATCTCAAAAAAAAAAATCTTATGATCCTACACCCAGCATACTATTGACTATTGACTGGCTTACTTTATATTCAAAGAAAAGAAAGATCTTCAATAATGCCTTTTCAAGTTGTAAAGAATTCATTTAGAGCAGTAATAGCAATACTGTAATAGAGTAAAACTATTATATATAAGCTCAGTTGGCTTTCTGTGTGAAGTTTGCATGTTCTCCCTGCCTTTGTGTGGGTTTCCTCTGGGTGCTCCGGTTTCCCCCACAGTCCGAAGACATGCGGTACAGGTGAATTGGGTAGGCTAAATTGTCCGTAGTGTATGAGTGTGTGTGTGTGTGTGTATGTGTGGATGTTTCCCAGAGATGGGTTGCGGCTGGAAGGGCATCCGCTGCGTAAAAACTTGCTAGATAAGTTGGCGGTTCATTCCGCTGTGGCAACCCCAGATTAATAAAGGGACTAAGCCGACAAGAACATGAATGAATGAATGATATATATTTATATGAATATATATATATATAATTATTTTTAGGGTTTTTTCACCTTTATTAGATAAGACAGTGGAGGAAAGACAGGAAAGCATTGGGATCAGAGAGAGGGGAAGGATCGGCACAGGACCTCGAGCTGGGAATCCAACACGAGTAGCCGTGAGCACCATGGTGCCACATGTCGACACACTTAACCACTAGGTTATTGGCGGCAACGAAACCATGATATTTTTATTCAGGGTTATCATACCATCAGAAACATATAACGGCCCATGCCTAGAAGGTAATCTGTTGTGGCTTTTTCAAAGTATTCAGTCACACCAGAATTTACAGTATGAAAACAATTCAATCAAATGCTTTTTCAACTACATCTGGAGGTGGCTTAAATTGGGCATACTAAAAGCTGTTAGATCTCAATTTACACCTTTTTTGTGTAAATAATGATCAAATCGCTGAAATGCATCTTAATATATCTGTGTTTTGGATCTAGGTTATTGAAATGCCTGAGCACAATCCAGGGCAGATGGGTGGAACCATGCGGCTGGGAAAAAGACGCACCTTATTCAAAAGCACCCCCAGCATTCTCCGTAAGTTGTGATCTTTTGTTTATCTTAAAATCATACATTTTCTTTTCGGCTTAGTACCTTTATTAATTTGGGATCGCCACAGCGGAATGAACCGCCAGCTTATCCAGCATATGTTTAACATATTGGTTTCTTTTCCGGCCGCAACCCATCACTGGGAAACACCCATACACTCCCATTCACACACATACACAATGGACAATTTAGCTTACCCAATTCACCTGTACCACATGTCTTTGGACTTGTGGGGGAACCCGCCGGAGCACCCATGCGAACATGGGGAGAACATGCAAACTCCACACAGAAATGCCAACTGACTCACCCAAGGCTTAAACTAGCGACTTTCTAGCTGTGAGGCGACAGCGCTACCCACTTAAAATCTTAAAATCATATGTCACAAATATAAATGTACATTCTATTTAAATAAGTGCATATAGATAATATTTGAATTATATTGTTGTAGGAAAGCTGTATGGAGATGCTGAATACGTGGACGAAAGGCATCGACACCGCTTTGAGGTTTGCAATAAAGATCTACTCTAAAATACCGTAAATGTTTTGTTTTCTATTTATTCATGTTAGTAATCTTTGCATTTTTTTCCAGGTGAATCCAGAACTGAAGCACCACTTCGAGGATAGAGGTTTTCGATTTGTGGGTCAGGACCTAGAGGGGGAGCGGATGGAGATCATTGAACTTGAAGGTCAGTGATCGTCTAGTATTTGAAAAAGCGGTCAGTCAGTGCTCATTTCAACTGATTTCTTCTGTCCAAACAGATCACACGTATTTTGTTGGAGTGCAGTACCATCCAGAATTCACTTCTCGCCCGATCAAACCCTCACCACCGTATTTCGGCCTTCTGCTGGCAGCGTCTGGGAAACTGCAAAACTACCTCCAGAAAGGATGCAGGCTCTCACCTCGGTTTGTTGCTTCTTAAACTCATATCATCCTAAATTAATTTAAAGTGGAGACATGCAGTATACTGTGTAAGTTGTCTTATTATCTTGTTTTCCTTTTCTCTCTCAGAGACGCATACAGTGACCGAAGCGGCACTAGTTCACCAGACTCGGAAATCTCTGAATTCAAATTCCCATCGCTTTCTTAAAAAGGAAAAACCCACCTAATCATAAAAACACATGAATGACGTTTTATGATATGAATGTATGAATTTAAATAAATGGATAACAATGCTAATGTGTTGGTTTTAAAATGTGAACAAGTGTGTTGTGTACAGTGGTATAGAAGTGATAATTTATAGTTATTCATTGTACATTTTCATTTAATTTAATTTATTTAATTAATTAAAATTTTAGAAATAATGTGTTTTAATAATTTTAATTTGTATATTAAAGTAATTTTTTATTATACAGAACTAGCTGAAATATTATATATTAAAAGTTTTATGAAATATTTAACATTTATTGTATTTCGAGTATCATAACTAGTATTACTTGGATGGTTTTATCAGGAGTTGACATTAATAACAATGAGCTGTGTTTAAAATGGCTCACTGAACTTGTCTATGCAAATACATATGTAAATTGATTGTTTTTACAAACTAGGGGATTTTTATATATAGAGAGAGAGCACTCTACCACTTATAACTATTACTTTACCAAATAAAATAACAATTTGGAAGAGATCATTTTCCAGAAGGCTTCATCAACTTCTCTGTGCTTTTATTTTGTAAGACTTTTGAGATCTCGCGATACTTCGGTTGAGCTCCGTTCGTCAGAAGAGGCGCTTGTAGAAGGAAAAACAACTTGGAAGGGCTTGTGCATATTTCCAGACCTTAAACGTCGAAGATGGAAAGATAATACAGAATTATTTGCATCAGGTACTGCAACGATTAACAATTAAACGGAATTACATCAAACAAAAGGAAAGCATCGCGAGACGTGTATTGGCACGAATGTTTTTCTCGCTAATGTTAGCTGCTAATATGTTAAGCTACAGTGTGATGATTAAAAACAACAACTATGAAGAAATTCAGACTAAAAACCATACTTATTTGGTAATTTGCATTATATCACATTAATATCAGCATAACACTTACATTATCAATTAGTTTAAGTGAATTATGTCATAACACACTGGCGAAGCAAAAAGGCTAACGCTAGCATATACAGCAAATGACAGTTCGGTGATGTTTATTTCTATCGAGCTAAAAGTTCTTCACTTCGTTGATATAACTTACTTAAAACAGCCGTTTAATATCCTTAATGTATTTATGCATTGATTAAACTCAGTTGAACTCTTAATATCTTTTTTCTGCAGCTGATTTAAAACTCCCACTAGTTCTGAAGAGGCTTGTGACATTTGACATCTCTTGATTAGCATAGTATGACCCAGTATCCAGCACAGACCAGTCGCTCGAATTTCTACACGGTTGTGAAAGCAGAAGCCTCTTCAACACCGCCGCTGTCCAGCAGCATGGCCAACAGCACGGTCGCTCCGGGGAAACTGCCCGGCACCCCCGGACCAGCAGGCAGACTGAGCCCAGAAGGACCTCAGGTGGGTCAGACTGTACAGCTATTATAAGACTGAGGTAACGTTGGTTTTATTTTCGGATATTTGTTCAGTAAGACGGTCCCTATATTGTTTACTACGAATATTCAGTCTGTACTTGCATCAAAGTATGACTACAAAAGAATATTAGCACTATTTAATTGACTGTGAACAATGTTGTACTTTGATAGTCATTGGCTACTAATAAGATTTCTACTATTAGAATTTGCAAAGAATACTTTTCTGAAATTATATTATTGAGAAAGTTTGAATGTGCGAACCAACTTTTACTTTCACACGAACATGCATAAAAACATTCCTTCCTCTAAATGATCATTTATTTCATTTCTGCGGAAACCTAGAGAAGAAAGCAAATACACAGTCGAAGCTCTTCTTTAAAACTTATATTATATTATATTATATTATATTATATATGTAAAAAGAACCTAGATTAAAAAATGAAACAAAACAGTATCTAATTTAAATCTTAACATTTAACTACATTAATATAGTTTAAAATTAATAACAATTTAAATTGAATATAAATTTAATTTTTAAATATAACATTTTTCCCCATTATTAATGTAAAATCATATTGGCTTATTTAACCTTGTCTCAAAGCAAAATAAAAAGTAGCAACTATAATAAACTGTGTAACGTTAAATAAAATGTTTTTAAAAACTATTTGTTTGACTATTTTTGTCAAAACATTTTTGCTTCATTCAATCTATCATGATTTGCACTTCTACTCTTCCGTAGCTTTGGATGTAGCAGTATACCTATCATGATTGAAAATTTTGTGTTGATGATTACTAATCAAGCAAATAATTTTAAAAATATTTAGATTTTTAACAGTTTAGAATAATTTTATTTATTTATATACATATATACTTTTTATTTTGCTTTGAAACATGATTAAATATAGGCCAGTATGGCTTTAAAACTATGGAAAATAATATAAAAATTAGAATTAAATTTAAATTCCATTTTAATTATATTTATATTTAAATTATATTAATGTGTGGTAAATGTTAAGATTCAAATTGTATTTTTTTAGTTAAAATTTTGAGTCTTGGTCCGTTTTATATTAAAATAAAAAATCATATAAAACCAAGCAATCATAATGTTATATGATATTATAATATAACAATATATGTGGGAAAGAAGATCTTTGGTTCTCTGTTAGTTTGGTCTTCACAGAAATAAAACAAGCTGTCATTTACAGGTAAAATGTATATTAAGCATGTTAATTTGTTTATGCACTTAATTTCCCTCATTTAAAAAAAAAAAACCTGTTTTCAACACCTGAAAGTAGATCAAATAACAAAGATCAGACAAATAATCAATATTTGCGATAGACCTATATGTGAAAATAGACTTTTTTAAGCCAATTTAAAAATATATTGACATTTATGTATTTTTATTGTCCTCCCTACAGGTGCTCAGTAAGAAGAAGCTGCAGGACCTTGTTCGAGAAATTGACCCTAATGAGCAACTTGATGAGGATGTGGAAGAAGTACGTGTGTCTTATTATTGATGATGTTCAAAAGTGTTCTCACACATTCATTGTTGACTAGTCAGTTTGTTGCCCAAATTACCATTTTAAACACACTTGAATAATAAATAGTTGAGTTTGTGAGAAACAAATGGGATTTTAATTGCAATGATATATAAAACACTTAGGGAAATAATCAGTTGATGTACAGTTGCAATCAGAATTATTATCCCCCCTGTTGAATTTTGTTTTTCTTTTTTAAATATTTCTCAAATTATGTTTAACAGAGCAAGGACATTTACACAGTATGTCTGATAATATTATTTTCTTTTGGAGAAAGTCTTATTTGTTTTATTTCGGCAAGAGTAAAAGTAGTTTTAATTTTTAAACACCATTTTAAGGTCAAAATTATTAGCCCCTTTAAGCTATATATTTATAGTATACAGAACAACCCATCATTATAGAACAACCTGCCTAATTACTCTAACCTGCCTAGTTAACTTAAATAATCTAGTTAGGCCTTTAAATGTCACTAAGCTCTATAGAAGTATCTTGAAAAATATCTAGTAAAATATTATTTACTGACATCATGGCAAAGATAAAATAAATCAGTTATTAGAAATGACTTATTACAACTAATATGTTTAGAAATCTGTTGAAAAAAACTGCTCTCTGATAATAATTCCGGATTCAGGGGGTTTAATCATTCTGATTGCAACTGTATATTAGACCTGAAATATCTGTTTTTGTCAGTTCAAGAATTTAAACTATACTATATTTGTACTATAATGCATTATAGTGTGTGTGTGTGTGTGTGTGTGTGTGTGTGTGTGTGTGTGTGTGTGTGTGTGTGTGTGTGTGTGTGTGTGTGTGTGTGTGTGTGTGTGTGTGTGTTTTTTTACTATATTTGTACTATAATTCATTATATTTTTTATGAAGAATGCATTGATTTTGTCAAATTCAAATAACAATAACACTATTACAACAACAACAACAACATCAAAAAATAAATAAGTGTTTTTTTAAATGCTGCTTTGTTTATCAAATGATGCATAAAAAATTAAAGATGATAAAACTAACATACTTGAGCACAGACTCAACAAATTCAGAATGATTTCTGAAGGATGAAAAAAATGAAGATTAGTTGAGTAATGCCATCACAGGAATAAATGACATTTTTACATTTTATAATTATTGTTATTATTTCATTACTTTTATTAGCGATTACAGCCTAAATGAAAAAGAACAGTAGAAGGATATGCTAACATTACTGTTACTACAGTGTTGTCTGTTGACCATTTGTTTCAGATGCTGTTGCAGATAGCTGATGACTTCATTGAGAGCGTGGTGACTGCTGCATGCCAACTGGCCCGACACAGGAAGTCAAGCACTCTTGAAGTAAAAGACGTCCAGCTACACCTTGGTGAGGATCTTAAATGATCATTTTATCCATGGACTTGAGTGCTTCATTTGAATACATTTGAATAAGTACACTTTTAAAAGGGTAATTCACTCAAAAATGGAAATGTATTCCTTATTTACACTAAAAGAGATATTTTAACAAAAAGATGAAAACCAGTGAAACAGAGGCCAGCAAAGTGAAGTGCTATGCTGGTTCAATGGGTTGGGTGCAGTAGGACCGGTGGGCTACAGATGGGGGCTCGTCCAGGATGGGAGTGAGGTTTAAGGGGCTGACTGTAACGAAGGCCAGCTAGTGAAGTGCTACGCTGGTAAACCTCACTCTTCTGACCTATAAAGGTGCTTTATCAACAGACGCTAGAGGTCATGGTCTTTAGCCTCCTTGTTAGAGCAACCGACTCCCACACAAAGAATCGCTGGTTAGATCCCAGCTCAGAGCGAGTTGGGTGCTATAAGACTGGTGGGTTACACTTGGGGGCTCGTCCGGGATGGAAGTGAGGTTTAGGGGGTGAGTGTAACGAAGGCCAGCTAGCAAAGTGCTAAGCAGGTAAACCATATTCCTCTGAACCTCTAAAGGTGCTCTAAGGACAGACGCTAGAGGTCATGGTCTCCTTTTTAGAGCAACCAACTCCCATACAAAGAATCGCCAGTTCGATCTCAGCTCAGAGCAGGTTGGGCGCAGTAGGACTGGTGGGTTACATGTGTAACCATTGACTTCCATAGTAAGAGAAATGCCTAATATGATTGTCAGTGGTTAGAGTTTTCAGACTTTCTTCAAAATATCTCCTTTTTTGTTCAACAAAAGAAAGAAAGTAATAAATGTTTGGGAACACTTGAGAAGAGTTTTTTATGCAAACTATGTCTTTAAGGGTATTTTATAGTCGTTTAATAAGTGACATGTTTTTCTTCTTATTTTAATACCGTTTGAATAATTAAACTTAAAGGGATAGTTCACCCAAAATGGAAATTTATTCACTGTTTACACTAAAGAAGATATTTTGAAGAAAGCTGAAATCGCTAACTTCCATAGTAAGAGAAATAAATACAATTTAAGTCAATGGTTACAGGTATCCAACTTTCTTCAAAAGATTTCTTTTTGTGTTCAGCAAAATCAAGAAAGTCATAAATGTTTGGGACCACTTGAGAATAAATAAATAAATGATGACAGAATTTTCAGTCTTGAGCAGACTATCCCTTTAAGGGTATTTCATAGTGATTAATGAGTGACATGTTTTTCCTCTTATCTTAATACCGATTGAATAATTAAACTTAAAGGAATAGTTCACCCAAAAATAGAAATTTATTTACTATTTACACTAAATAAGATATTTTGAAGAAAGCTAAAATCGCTTCAGTTTTAGGCAAACTATCCCTTTAAGGCTGTTTTATAGTTTGAGTTAGATGTTTTTCTTCTCATTTAAATACCATTCAAATGAATTATCCCACATAGTTTGAATGTCTATTTTTAAGAACTGTCCTCTTGTATAGTGAGTATACTAAATTTTCAATTTCCAGAACGACAGTGGAACATGTGGATTCCTGGTTTTGGCTCAGATGAGATCCGACCGTATAAGAAGGCTTGCACCACAGAAGCTCACAAACAGGTCAGCCATGCACTAAAACCGATCACCTAAAGATGATTTTGAACAATCACTTCACTAAATATGATTTCTGTTCTTTCAGAGAATGGCACTGATCCGCAAAACAACCAAAAAGTAGCAAGATTGGAATCACCAACAAACTTTATTTCCCTGCAAGTTTTGGAAAGTGGAGAGGGTTTGAACCTATACATGTCATGGTAATCAAAGGGGCAAAAAAAATGCGATGTACTGTTTGCAGTACAGTTCTGTTGACATTTCGCGTTTTGGAAGGTGCACAGAAATTATTGTAATTTGTCTGTACAGTTCACTTTGCGTTAAAACCACCACGTGAACGTTTTGTTTTGGGCACCTTGGTGCTATCCTGGGGTTTTATTATATAATAGAATCCCTCAAAGCTCTGCTAAAAACATAAATTGTTTTATTATATTACCCACAATCCACATTTTCCTTTCATATATCTCTTGTATAGACTCTTTATGCAGTCATAGATCTTTTGCTGAGCTGGCATTAGAAGCTATGCACATTTACAATCATCATGTGTCTGATTTGTTTATAGTGTTTGCTGTTCTAGAATTCGTCAATTAAGTAATATCTAGTGCTATAGAGGAATCCCTAGCGTGGTACTTTTTGAAGGTAAACCAGAGAGATGATTACCACTTCCCTGTGTAATTAATTGCATTGGAACTAGTGAAATAATCCAAATCTTAATTGGTTTAGAGAGGGATATATATGTGTGATGGTGCGCAAACCCCTTCTGCTGTGGGTTTGCGGGCAGGTTTAAACCTTTTTGTGGAGTTTTTTTTTGGTCATGTATCACAGTGTTTTACAGTCTCCTGTTTTTCATGAATAAAAAAAAAAACTAATTGTGATTTATTCACACCAAAGTCAGTCAGGTTGTGTATGACATTATTACAGAAATGACTGGAAAAAAATAAAAATAAAAATAAAATAAAATATATATATATATATATATATATATATATATATATATATATATATATATATATATATATATATATATATTTCTACAAACCTTTACAAGTTAGTATACCTTTAATAAATCTTCAGGATAAGCTCTTAAAGGTGCAGTATGTAAGTTTGACACCCAGTGGGGTGAATTAGGTAGTGCGCTCCTGGTTCAAAACATACGCAAGGGCAGGTTGCCAGATTGATGACACCAACAGCAATGTGCCTGACTGTCGAGCCTAAAGGCTTACTTAAACTGTTCTAAATAAAAGCAACTGCACTCGATACAAGGAGTATTTTCAGGGCTTGACGTTGACTTTTTTGATCACCAGCTACTGTGGCTAGTAATTTTCCTACGTTACTAGCCACTTGCCATTTTCGCTAGCCACATTTTTGCTGGTGGGAAAATATATTTTATATGCATAAATTTGACTTTGACATGCTAAAATTATTTGATTTAGACTTTTTGTTATGTCCACATGCCTCCTTGTTCATTTCACTTTTTTGTTGTTGTGTATGAACTCATGATGTGCATGAGCAAATAAGTTATGGCTTCATAGTGTCGCATTGCAATTAGTTTTTATTTCACATGACTTTTCTGGGCTCAACACTAAGGATTTACCAAATTTATCTCTGACCACACCAAAAATAAATAATTATTTCATAGCCATTAATTTTAGATAATATGTCAAAACAAGCAAAATATAGCTATATACATGCACTTTTTGATTCAACAAAACTTTTCTTAAAAAAACAAAAAAACAATTGACATTTTAAAAAGAATTATTGGCATGTATCTAAAACTATCTGTGGCAATGAAAGGATGATCATACTCACAAGGTTAACATTAGATTCATTAATAATTTGTTCAATGAATGGTTAAAGCGAAAGCAGCAACTGCTGCTGCTTGCAAAAAGACATCTGGAGCTCTTGAAAGCAGCAGGACTGTGGGTATTTGATCATTGTTTTTTGTCTAATTCAGTGGTTCTCAAACTGGTACACGTACCACTAGTGGTCCAAGCAACATTTTCAGGTTTTGATGAATAGGATACTACAGGTTAATACTTTACGATCAAGTACAGGAGTTCTTTTTATTTTATTATTTTTTTTTACTTTTTAAGAACAGTAGCCTACCATTTTTAAGGAACTTTTAAACGCACATTTTAATTTAAATGTTGACATTTTACAGTTTGTTCGTTTTTTTTTTTTTTTTTTACATATAAGCACAGTACAGTTAATGTTCAAACTATTGATAATGTTTAAAGTGGCTGATAGTAATAAATATAATTAATAATTGTAGTTAATCTGCCACATTTTTAAACTTTGCACAGCTGTAGCTGCTTTGCTGGGCCTACTATGCTACTGTATTTCAATACTGGTCATAATAGTGGTACTTGGCGGGACAAATTTTTTCTGAGGTGGTACTTGATGAAAAAAGTTTGAGAACCACTGGTCTAATCTATTTCAAAGAGAACCAATTGCACCAGTTACGTTTCCAGGCACAGTTGCATCGCACCATGAAACGAGTGCATATCGCATCACCTCTACGTGTGGATCATCCTCTCATTCGGCATTCATATGCTTTCTTTTGCTTGCTTGAAAGCTTTTTTTTGTCATTCATGCTGCTTCTAAGATCACATTTGCACGAATATTGCACTATACTTATTGTAGAACCCTGCTTTTAAGAAAACTACAATTTAAAAATTATTTTCAACCGGCCAAAGTGACTAGTGGGAGTGACCATCTAACCTGCCACGGCTGAAATCTACCTGCATTTGGCGGTTGTTAATGTCAAACCCCGAATATTTTCCATAGTCAAAGGAGAAATTTATATTTTAGAAACGGTTTCTATTTCTTGCTGCTGAACAACGGAAAACTGACAGTGATCACATCAGGTACACCTCATGTGCTTTATTCAGTGTTAAATGTTGACAATGGAAGTTTGAATGCCATTTTGCATGACATTTATTGTCATACCACTGAAAGCAGCAGCAGATAGTTCACCTCAGATCTTGAAAATAAAAAAAAAGTTTAAAACTTATCTAATTTAATCTGTGACTCGGTGCAAGCCAACACATATCAGTGATTTAATATCTACATTTAATAAAATTAAAGAGGTTTAATATGTATTAATTAGTTTGTAAATCTTACCATCTTGTTGGAGTGCAGAAAGTGTACTATTTTGTCCTTCTGAATGGTTGTGTTTTAATTTCTGTCATGTTTCCTCTGTTGCAAACAGGCAAATTGCTTGTTACTCCAAATCTCATCACGTAGCGTGTTGTTAGGACACAGGGTTACAATGTAACCTGCTCACCTAATGTTTACATTCATAATATTTATATTATTTTCTAATTAATAACCTCATGTGGAAATTTGAATCCGCATCTCATTTTGGAGTCTGCTACAGTCTACGGGAGGTCACATTACGGTCACGGGCGCATGCTTTGAAAGCCTTCCTGAATGAATGTATGAAATACTCCGTTTTCCACCAAGGCAACCTGGGATGCTGAAATATATAATTGGATAAACTAGCATTGGGCGGGTTAAAATAACCAAAACAAAGACAGCATTCCGGCTTGTAACGCACATTTTCAAAGCAGAATATTAAAATTCAGCATTGATTTTCATGTTCACTTGGGATGTTTCATAATTATCTGAAAACATATTATGGTATTTTTATGCTTTAGTCGAGTCAAAAACTTACATACAGCACCTTTAAGTACCTCCGGACTACGCTTTCTGGATAAACAAAAATATGTTAATGTTTAGTCAATTATTTGCTTGTGTTTTGAAAATGAAGAAATAAGAAGTCTAATATTTAAACTGATGTAATCACGCTAATAATAATAAATTTATCCAAACCTGCGGCTGAAAATACCAACAAGTATTTGGAAACGTGTATGGTAATGACTTTAATCAAGAGTTCCAATTTGGTTTCCAAATTCTGAAATCGTGCATATGTTATGTAGAATTTAACACCTACAATCTTGCATCAAGTCTTTGAGGTTTACTTTTAGGTGTATTGGGCAATGTCAAACGTATCCATCCTTTTGAAACACAGAGCCACGTGTTGTAATAGTTAACAGGTACAGCTCTTTTTCTCAGCAGATTCATTGTTTTGTAACTTCTGGAGGGTTTGGGCTGTAGGCGCTGAGCTTTTGACGCCATCCCACCCTTCGCGCAACTGGATCTCGCCACTTTTTAAGCCCTGATAAATCCGCCGGGTCAAGAGGTCGAAGGCTTCTTTCACATTGTGACCCGTTTTGGCCGAGGCCTCGATGTAGGGGGCTCCCAGCTGGCTCGCCAACTTTTCTGCTTCAGTTCGGTCCACGGCTCTTTCTCCACCTTTGACGCGGTCGCTCTTGTGTCCCACCAGGACGAAGAGCACAGTATAGGGATGCACACGTTCACACACCTCAGCGTACCATTCCCGCACATTTTCAAAAGATTTGCGATTGCCCAGATCGAACACCAGGAGACCTCCAACAGAGTTACGGTAGTAGGATCGAGTCACAGACCTGCACAAACACCAGATTTAAAGGGTTATTTTTTCAAGATTTTTCTACAATGATACTCAATCTTCATATATTGCATTCAGTCGTGTACATAGTACTGGAATTTCTAACATTGATACGATAACATGTTTGGATATTGCTAGAAAAACCACGTCCCCATTAGAATGAGATTTTTAACATGAATAAAATATCTTGTGGTTGTACACTTGTTTAATAAAAACTCTTTGTGATTGTAACTTTCAAAATGCAGTGAAGTATCTTAAAAAAAACTAAAGCATACAATCATTTGTATTTTAAAGTAAAGTTCAATATACTGGGCCTTATAGTGGCCTATTTTTACTACCAAATCGATTTCTAATGGATAAAATTTAATGCCGTTTCAATTTTTTTTTTTTTTTATTGACTGGACTATCACATTCTAAATCGACATATTTGTAGCTACATACAGTTCAAGTTAGAATTATTAACCCCCCTGAATTATTAGCACTCCTGTGTATTTTTTCCCCCAATTTCTGTTTAAGGGAGAGAATTTTTTTTCAACACATTTCTAAAAATAATAGTTTTAATAACACATTTCTAATAACCATGATGACAGTTATATTTTACTTGATATTTTTCAAGACATTTCTATACAGCTTAAAGTGACATTTAAAAGCTTAACTGGGTTAACTAGACAGGTTGGGTAAGTTATTGTATAATGATATTTTGTTCTGTAGACTATCGAAAATATCTAGCTTAAAGTGGCTAATAATTTTGACCTTAAAATTGTGTTTAAAAATTAAAAACTCCTAGTTACTTAAATTGGGAAATACAAAAATCTCAATAACTGTTTGCCAAATTTACATCAAATCACGTCTGATAAATATTAAGCATACTTGTTGGAAACAAGCATTTCAATTGGCATGCTGTATATGGAGGTTCCTACACTGTAAAACCCAACAGTCAACTTTATCAAATGAAATGAGTGTAGTTCAGTCAAAATTTACTTAAGTTAATTATACTCATGTGTAAGGAGTTTTGAACTAAGTGTTGAAGATAATGAAATAAATACCTCATTACTTTAACCTAAATGGGGTAAGTTCACAGTCCTCATATAGACTAGTTTTTAACTCAAACGGTTTGAGTTGCCTTAACTCATTGGGTTTTACAGTACTCAGTTGGTTTGAGTTCTCCATTTATTGGGTTTTACTGTGCTCAGATTGCTTCGTTTACTTAAATGGATCAAGTTCATAGTACTCATTAGGATTAGTGTTTGAACTTAATGTTTGTTGCAATCTGTTTCCTCAAACGGTTTGAGTTATCTTAAATTGTTTGGGTTTTACAGTGTAACATTTATGAGTGCCTCTCTTCTGTTGAACACAAGAATATATTTGACAGTGTTTTTGAAAATCTCTAACCATTGACCTA